ATGATTCGGTCAGTAATTTCAGGTCATCCTCACAGAACCTTAGTCTTGGTCTCTAAAACACACATCATAAATTCGTATTCATTAACAACGTAGTTCAGTTACCATACCCGAAAGTAACATGGTTTGTTCCTCTCAGAGGAATATGTCACTGATCATGTGATACTCACAGTACCGTTTTATAAATTTCCTGTATATGTTCGGGAAGCAAGAAGAAAAGGATATCAGCGTCAATTACTGCACGCATAAATTTTGTTTCTCGTATAATTTACACAATAATAAGCCAGTTCCGTAAAAAAAAATTACGGCACTTATGACGGTCAGAACCGTTTATGGTTGTATATTGTTGACTTGTATAATTTTCAAAAATAATCTAACGCAGAATTGCTTCAACCTGCATTTTATAAACAAATACCAGACAAATATGTTTATTACCACCCTAATTAGGGTGCTAAATTAAACGTCTAAGAGCTCACTTTTTCCTTAAAAATTCGACAGTGGTCCGTCCCTAACTTGATAAATAGTGAATCTCACTTGCTTGAGTTTACGTTGTTACAAATAACTACATTAATTTGACCTGACATTCACCCAGGCAGTGAACAACAACTGCATTTAACTACTAAATATTCGGGTCAAAGCATATGTAACAAGCACAAACATCACGAAAACTGGCATATGACGGCAAAATGCTATTATTTGCTTATAACTAACGTCATCAAGAATACTCAACAACATGTAACTGGTGCACGAGAACCAATAGCTTACATTTATTGTTCGAATGGCTAATAAATCATCTCGACTGGACAACAATAGGAAAGAGCGAATCTGGAATATATGATTTATTCGCGCTATACATTTCAAACAATCTGGTCACACATATACTTGTATAGGCACTTTATGTAAGTGCACATAGCTACATATGCAAGCAGTGGTTGATAATAAAAGGGAGAACTAGTTTTATAGACAGATTATTGCTAATAAGGAGTTTAATGTATAACTTTTTGCTCGAAAATGAGCAAAATTAATACGAGACTCCATAGGACTGTGGGAAACAGCAGATCTCAGGGATCCTGATGTCCATGTATTTTTCTCTACGAAAATTCCTCAAAACATATGGGCCCTTCGGTGAGCAGTTTCAGCAAATACGTTAGCATTAATTTCAGTTTGTACGTAGTGTAGGATCCATTTTCTAGGTTTGGTGTGTGAAAATCCCTCCATGCATACATTAGTAGCCCAGTCAAGCATGCGTACCAGATGAAGAGTAGGTATGCAGTATTGCACATTCCTCACAACAACTGGCTAGCTTACATCATACATTTCTCGACACACCAATATATCTCCTGACAGATTCATTTCTGATTTCTGACTTGAATGGTTATAAGATCGTTGATGAAGCCGTTACGGACAACGATGTTGTCAAGCCTTGGACATATTTGACATCGAAAGTGACCTGGTTTGCCACACAATAAACTGTTAGTCTGTTCCCTGTTGTAACGTTATATATATATATATATATATATATATATTACATGTTGCGGTGTTATTTTCGTGGTCTCAGAATTTTTCGTGTATCTATAATTTCATTTATACCTTCATAAGTCGAGAACTCGAGCCTGAGCTATTAGAGATTAGGGTCACGACCTCTTATTTACAACAACCTCTTATTTTACCGAAGCCTGGCACTGCTGTAAAAGAGCTGACTTTCGGGTACACCGTGTGACAGAAGGTAAACGAAAGACGGATCGCCGCTTACAATTAAAGTCACGTTTAACTGAATGTGGGTATAAAGAAATACATTCAAAGCATTTTTGTTGTAGCGAATGTGTCAGCCATAGTCATTGGGTTGATATAATGTAGCACTACGACTTACTTGTCAACTCTAGGTAACGGAGGTTAGCAGACGGATATAATAGATTATCTGTTGGTGGAGCTTCAGTTTCCGACTGCACCTTATGCCCGATCCCAATCAGAATTATAATCTGTCCATACTTTCAGCTGATACTCGACGAGCATTCTGAAAGGTACAAAACACCACTACCATCACGGTGCGTGACCAGCAATATTTTGCGCAACATCTTGACCACAGGATCATCCCTATTCTTTAACGTACGTCATCTATCTTTTGAAATGCTAAGATCGATCAAACAAATAATTCGATAATATGATGAATTTAGGAGTTATTTGGCCATCAAACGGCCAGTGGCACTGCCCTTGTATTTGATCCCTAAAAACTATAAAAACGACTGGTATCTGACTGGTGATCATTGGTGATATAATACAAAGATCACTTTCAGTGGTCACCCGTTACCACGAATTCAGGACCTGATTGCCACCCTAAAAGGTAAAATTTTCCTTTGGAAAATCTATATCCGCGGACGATACTCCCATAACGGCTATTACCACTCCTTTTGGATTTTATGAATATTCCTGAACAAAACTATGCTTCAAAGAGTTAATCATGGATACCATTTGATTGTCTTAATCGATAACAATATCCTTGTTAATACCTCGTTTACACGTTTTATTCTTACTGAAACATACGTCATGCTTCATTTATTGTCATCATGGTTTATAATAATAATTACCTGTAACTTCACATAAACGAGTATCTATGCTTAATGTATTTCTTATCACAAAAAACAAAGCAAGCTTCCTGTGACGTGCGAGTTACCAACTTCAAGAAAGTCTCTACTAATGTTCAAACATGCTTACTCAGATTCAAAATACATCAACCATTCACATATTTGTCTGATTCCTCGGGAATAGCGTAATCGAAGATATTGGATATTGAAGGTAAAGTTTGAAACTCGTAGAGCGTCTTTTAACCCTCCCGTTGCTTCTGGTAATATATATATATATATATATATTATTGATCAACCAGTCTTATTAATAATAATAATAACCTAGTTGACTCATGTCAGTCTCAATTTTCATGGTGTCTATAAAATAGACTATCGCCAAGACTTTTCTTCCAGATGATCTGGCTCGTATGAAACAAATTTGTTTCCTTTAGGAACGAAACATAACCATGAAAATCCTCTATTTTGAGTCAAACGTGTACTAGATCGTCAGAAGCATACGATATTGAAGGAACAACAGCATATTATATGCAGAATTTTAGGCACTGCTGCGGATAACTTCTATTTTATCAGAAATTAACGATCTCTCCTTAAATCTAGTTCTTATGAGTTTTAAAGCAAACATACGTATCCGTTGTTCCATCATATAATAACGTGTGACATGTTATGTCAGCAAACCTGTAAAAAACACCTACTGTTAATTCATCAGTGATGTCAGTTCCTGATTAAACCGCCTTCTCTAAACGATACCTAATCCTAACCACAGTTTCCTACGCTCATTTCTAGCCTTAAAATTTACTTACAACCCCTAGAATTCAGTTGCTCCAGAAATATCTACTAGTTTTCAGCGCTAAGCTTTTATGGTTTAATAAAAATAATTCAATATGTTCACATCCATTAATTATGTCGAAACTGTATTTTTGGGTATGTGGAATCTACAAATCGTATATTTATGATATCAGCTTTAAAATTTACAAATTGGCCTCTGTTTATGGGCTTTCAGTATGTTCCAGTTGAGCGAAATGAAGTGATATGTTCAAGACTACGATGTCTTAGAAATTTTGACCGGTTTATCCGTTGAAATTTATTACTTGCTACTGTAAATTGCTGTATAAAACCATCTCTCTGCTTGGCAGGTTAGTCGTTGAGGGTTATCCATGTAGTACACCTCTACTGATCAAACAAACTCATTATTTTAGTTACTGCTCTCTAAACCCATTCCAGCGCCTTTGCAGCTAGTGCTTCCTGCTTGAACCCCTCATTCCAAATGCGGTCCAGATAATATCTTGTATTATGTTTCGAACATTACCTGTTCCATGTCCCCAAGTGCCTTATATTCTTTCCACAAGATCCGAAGACCTTTACCAGCGGCCACTTTAAAGTTATCCATTGTTCTGATACCGTTATTCATCCATCGTTAGCTTATTAGTTTCACAGGGTTTTTTATTTTCAGCTTGATAATAAATTCGTTTGGAAGAGGTCCCTTTGCTTATCTCCGTGCCTTTAATGTTTGGTAATTATATTTCCGTTAAAGAATATGTAAACACTACTAGTTCGCTTAAGAGTAATATTCGATAACATTCCAAGCTAATGAGCCATGTAGTTTCACAATCCGTGTCTATTTATTTAAGGTGGACCAACAAGTAGATAACCAATCATTCAATATTATATCATAAAATTATCACTTTCAAAAGCGTTACTGATAACGGAAATCCGCATCAATGTAACATTGCTCTTCTGTTATGCGATTCTGTACTTCTATATTACTGAATTCCACCTGTCACTCGTCTCAAATTCTAGGCAGGTATTGTTGATCTTGCGCCAAATAATTCTTGTCTTTTTTGGTTATTTCGTACCATATATGTAGCAATGTTATTCATGTAGTCGCCTTTATGTGGGACATGAAAAGCTTCTGATCCCTCGTATTCTTCTCTCTCATCACATTTGGCCTCAATTTAGATATGTCGTATAGTTTCCGCTTGCTTTGCGAGAATCTCCTAGGTGGTTGTACATATGCAAACAGCTAAATGTTCCTGTAATCATGATAGGAAGCAAATGCAAGTGACTTAAAATATTTGGTATTATTAGTGTTCTGATTACATCAGACCACAACTTTCCTTATTATATAGTTACATCCAGTTTATATTTCTCTGCACCATGTAAAATAGGCAATATTGAAAATCCCCATGAAATAGGAAGCAGTTATGTAACATATTTGTATATCTATGATCTGTTTTTTGCTGACCATTTTGACATTCATTTCATACTTTCTCCATAGATTTAATGGTTTCTGATTGTATACCTATTACACCTTTCCCAAACGTGGTCGAATAAAATTATCGCAAGATCAACATGTAAAACTTATTGGTTGTCAGTATATTTACAAATAATTTCGATCTAAATTTTAATTACAATATATTTTAGATGCTTAATCAGTGCTTTAGTTTAAGACCTTTGAGGAATGTTTATCGTCACGTGAATCCAATTCATCACATCTTACCTTCTCAACAGGTACTTTTAAATGCAGCATCTAGACGGAATGTTTTCGCAGTTACCGGTATTCAACCAAGTGGTAAACCTCACCTCGGAAATTATCTTGGGGTCATAAAACCATGTGTCACGTATTGTCGTGATAGTGATGTATCACAATTCTTTATGCTAATCGCAGATTTACATTCTCTTACATCAAACAATTGTAATGACCTAAAGCATGGTATTCATGAACTTGTGGCTACTCTGCTCGCATGTGGATTTGAAGCAAATTCTTTAAAGCAAATAATATTCCTTCAGTCCTCTGTACCTGGACATACTGAACTAGCATGGATTTTATCATCAGTTTGCTCGGTCCTGGTAAGAGAGTTCCAACTGTTTCCCTCGTTTAGAACTTTAGTCTCATTGTTTGAGCTCTATGCTTTGATAAAAGCTTTGTGTTTTCGGAATCATTTAGGATTTTCAGTTATTAAGTAGTTAGTTGCGATAAGGATTGAGCATAATTTAATACTTTTAGAGGATAGAAAGTCACTGATCAAAACGAATAAGGATAAAAGTAATGTAGCAAAAAGTTGGATACAGAATAAATTTAGAAAGTGTGATAACGTCATCATTATTTGCTATTCAACGAGAAGTCTTGAATGCTGATTAAGATGATAAACAATTATATTCTGTGAAACAAGAGATTATTCAAGAGAATTGGTAAAGTAGGTAAGGTTTTGGTAATGGTTAATTGACAGACGTCAAACAACAAAGAAACATGAGTTTACTTGCTTCAAATTGACATGTTTTGTAAACTCTAAGAGTTTGGTCAAAAGATTATGTATATAGCTCAGAATGACTCATTGCCAGACTATTATAGATATTCGTCTTTGGCATGTTTTTAGTGCTACTTATCAAAGGATATTAACATTCAGTTTTAACGATCATATTGAAGAATCATTCCCAGTTGTTAAACAAAATGAAGATGTTTTGACATAGAAAATTTTCTTTTCGACGATATCATTTACTAGAGCTGTACGATCGTATTGATGGTTATTTTTTACGTCTGGTGGTCTGTAATAAACATAACGAATCATTGAGTAATTAACGTCTCCAGTTCCACAATAATGATACTTCCTGTTTACAACATGATTACTGTCCGTAAAAATTAATCTTGATCACGATCTCACTACTATTAAAAGTTATTAGTAGTAATAATGAGAGAGCCACCAGGTTACATGACTATACTAACTACTTCTCCTTAATGTACAAGTTACTAGAGAGTACCTCCATTTAAGCCTATCAGCTCTTTTGTCATTTCAGAGGCTATACTATGTACACAGAACGCATATTATTTTGTACATTCGTATTACAGAAGCCAACTGTCTTGTATATATATGATTATACATGTTTTCGGTGGTACTGAATTTTCCGAACTGATTGATTTAATTACTGCATTTCCATCGTCATGCTGGGCAACATCTTCACCGCTTACTTCGTGTAAGAATATTTTCAAAATAATGTAAGGTCATAATGGAATCACGAAGTGAATAACATTATTTGCGAGGAAAACCAAATGTTTATTTTTATCACCACTCACTGGAAGTACCTTTCTCATTTTTATTGATTTAAGCACATGAATATTGGTACAAGGAAGCGCCAGATACATATGCGCCACACAAATCTCATTTGATTTCTGTGAGGGCTGTGATACTGCCCAGGTGCCCAAACTGAAGCAGGTGGTTTTCTTAAGGGGCCACACCTGGACCCTTTGACCTAAAGATCTGATCCACAAGGCAGTGGAGCATCGTGAGGAGATGCAGTCCCATGGTAGCCGATGACCAACGATTGATTCATACGCCATTTGTTCCTTCAGGATCCTGGAGCCCATGTGCACCATTGGTTTGGAATTGTGATTTTCCAACTGCCCTAGATGGACTTTCTGTGTCCACCAATCCGGTTAAAGCGCCAGACATTCGCTTTTCGTCCTCTCAATTTCGTAAACAACACTCACATTGCGAGAAGGCAGTGAGTAGGACTTCCCTGACAGAGGCTTTATACTCGTGGCCATGTGAGAGCATTCGGAGAGGGAGAGCTGATTATCCCCACCCTTGGCCGTACCAGGGCATTTGGGGGCACCTTTCTCATACTTTGGAAAGTATCATATTTTCCCAAATATTATACACTACACAGTATGGCTTTTGTAAATAAATATTTAGAGTAGATATATGTAGGCATAAAGTCATTTTGACCATTATTGTTTATACATAACTTATTTATAATGTATGAGATCATACTAACCTTTAAACCAAACTATTCGAATAAATGTTAATGACTTTATTAAGTTGTCCAAAACTAATTCAGATGGAACAGAATTCAAACGTGAAACTTTCTGATGGAAAACTGATCGTTTTCATCACTAATTCTTCTCTTAATTTTGTTGTTTATTGCTAAACAAGATGTATCATGATAATGCTCTACATGTAATTCCGTTAATCAACAAAATTCCATCTAATCTGGTGGACACGGAAAGTCCACCTAGGGCAGTTGGGAAATCACAATTCCAAACCAGTGGTGCACATGGGCTCCAGTATCCTGAGGAAACAAATGGCGTATGAACTTATCGTTGGTCATCGGCTACCATGGGACTGCATTTCCTCACGATGCTTCACTGCCTTGTGGATCAGATCTTTAGGTCAAAGGATCCGGGTGTGGCCCCTTAAATAAACCACCTGCTTCAGTTTGGGCACCTGGGCAATATCACAGCCCTCACAGAAATCAAATGAGATTTGTGTGGCGCATATGCATCTGGCGCTTCCTTGTACCAATATTTATATGTTCAAATATAACATATATATAAACCTGAAACAAACTAATATGTTCAATCTCATAATTTATTCTTATACCGTTAGTTATTGATTGAACAATATCTCGTTATGACTATTTTAGTGTTATTCCATCGAATGTCTTTTTGTTACAGAGGTTAGCTCATTTACCTCAATGGAGAGAAAAATGTAGATATTTTGACTCAGTATCTGATGTATCTACCAACAATACGTCACCAATAAATAATATCCCTGATAATGCTTCCGTTGGTTTATTTACCTATCCTACTTTACAAGCTGCTGATATACTACTTTATGGAGCACATTTAGTTCCTATTGGAGCTGATCAAATAACTCATATTGAATTAGCACGTGATCTAGTTCGATCAGCTGTACATAAATGGCCATCATTATCATCTATTTTACATTTACCTAATAGTCTCATATTTAATGCACCTAAAGTAAGTCATTCGATGTTACTCTTTTTTTCACGTAAACTCCAAAATCTAATAGCGTAAACTAATATTGATATGTAAGCAAACATGGATAGTGGCTAACAGTGGAATCCAGTTTGACACACGTTTCGTCCTATTTGGGACTCGTCAGCTGGATGTACCTGCATCTCAGAGTTGATGTTCACTCTGGAACTCGGACCCAGTATCTTTCGCTTCAATGCGCGTCTTCGATTCCACTATTCATTTTTGCTTATAATTTTGATATGATTAGAATAATTTTATGTGAATGGTGATAAAGAAAACTAGGTAAAAACAATAGCCGTAATAGTAATGAATTATTGTCGACTTCATTCTATAAGTGTAGGAGTAAACAATAAAGGAAAGAGGGCAACTAAATATACAAAATAAACTGCAAATTAAGATCCTAGTATTGAAAGGGACCTAGCAAAGTATTTTCTTACACAAAACGGGTTTTAAATCATAGATAATTGAAGCTTCTTCAATGTAAATTAGGTTAAGGCGTATACCTCTAGGTATCTTTGACTGAATCTTGTAAATTTTGCTGAATGATAAGCCTGTGGTTGAACTTTCTGTGTCTGCTACATGTTGTGGAATTGATTATACAATTGACTTATCTCAACCTTTGTGAAACCATACTGATAGATACTCTCAAATGCGACGGAAAGATGGCGTTGATGAACAACCTATTTACTTAGTTCCATAAGAGCAGGTGAACTTGCAAATACCTTTACAGCTGTACAGCTTTGGGAATGAACTCCTTTAGAGGGGTTTGTAGTCGAATAAATCTTTTTATATGAATAAAGTCTGAACAACTGAGATGAAATACCATAAATTTATTTTAATTTTGTGGTTCCCTCAGGTGTTTACAACCATGTATGTATGATATGATGTAGGTGGAGTTTTGGTTTCTGGGCTGCATGGTATATATATAGAAAGAGAGGGAGAGAGAGCATAAATTGTCCTTGGGAAACGTCACAAAATCACCTATTAAAAGAGGTAACGAACCAATAAGACAAGGTCCTTCCAAGTAAAAAATACAGTATACAGGTCAAGATAGGCACCTATGGCGCGAAACCGATAAATTCAAATTTCCATAATAAAATTAGAAAAACAAAACCTTTACCTCGTAAATTCTGGTGATCCGGCATCCTCAACAAAAATAATTCCTGATTACTGCTTACCTCGATGGACTATGTTTGCTGGAACAGGAATAGATTGAAAGAAAGCTAGGTTCGGCTAAACAAAGACATGTTATCATTCCATAAAGTCATTGACTTTTAGTCTGAGTTGTGCTGGCAGATTCGAACTTCCTGATTGAGGTACGACAATTAATGCAAATTCATTCACTTTTTTTATCTTCCTCTTGATCTCGATTTCCAATATCACTTCATCCTTACCTTTATATCTTATCGTTTTGAATCATATATTCAATACTTGTCCTTTTTTTACCGGATCTACTTATACATTATTCTTCTTTGTCTATACATCATGTTGATTTCATCTTATTATGTTAATATAAAGTGACAAATTATACGTTATAGTTGAAATCATTAGTCAATTGAAGCTTGACCACCATGGAAAATCTGAAAGCACTGGATGACCGTTTCTTTCTGTTGTGGGACTCCTCAGCAGTGTGCATCCACAACCGCGCCTCGCTGGATTCGAACCTAGGACCTATCAGTCTCGCGCTTTAGCGCTTAACCACTAGACCACTGAGCCGGCAGGCATCCAACGGTGTTCTTGTCTAACTTCAACTAATCCACGAAGTTGAGCAACTGTTCACCAATTGTCTTCAGTGGGTTGATATCTCACAACAGACCTGGATCGTGGATGCGCACTGCTGAGGAATCCCACAATAGGACAAAACGGCTGTTCAGTGCTTCCAGGTTTTCCATAGTGTTCTAGCTTCAGTTGACTCATGATTTCAACTATGAATAAAATGAATGTCAGTCAGTCAGTCACAACATAGAACTTCATACGTACGTACATCAGTTCGAGTTGCCATACCACGTTGGCACGGAGATTCAGTTGCCGATTGAAATCCCATAGTGGTAGAAGTAGCAAGAGTATAAGCAGTAATCGGAAACATTAGGGTTTGAAGATGTTATTGAAGTAGTATAATCTAGTGAAATAAACTTGGACAAAGAAAAAGTATAGAGACATGAAGAATTTAGAAGATTAGAATTTGGCAGAACACAAAGAATGTATACACCTTTGTCATTGTAAACGATTTTGAACCATGTCATTCAAGGTCTCTAACTATCAATTGCTATTATCTCTCAAATCCCAACCAGGTAGAGTCTACACCTACCATCATAGCTCAGTCCAATTGTCAGTCAGTGACTTCATTATTTACTTTATACATCTTATCTAATATCTATTATATCTTTGTTTTTGTTTTTTTTTTGTTGTTCTTTCTAGATAAACAATCTAACAAATCCAATTAAAAAAATGAGTAAATCAGATCCATCCGAATTAGGTATTATCTATTTAACTGATACACCAGATAATATTTATAAAAAAATTAAACGTGCTGAAACTGATTCTATTCGTAAAATTAATTATGATCATGAAAAACGTCCAGGTGTATCAAATTTATTAAGAATTCTATCTGCTATTCAGGTAATTCAAGTTTCAAGTATTATTATTTATTATAAGTCAATTGAAGTTAGACTACTATAGAAAACTTGGAAGCATTTGACAGCCGCTTTTGTCCTGTTGTGTGGGACTTCTCAGCATTGCACATCTACGATCTAACCTTGTGAGATTCGAATTAAAGACCTATTGGTCTCACTCTCGAACAATCAACTTATAGAACACTGAACTTTCTGGCATTCAACAGTGTTAATGTATTTGTAAACTGTTAGGTTTCTCAGTCTTTTACAGTTATTAAGTAATAATCATAATAAAGTTAAGATCATATTTGGCCGATCGTCATTGCTTATCACTTGAAACAATAATGCAATAATATTTCCACATTTAACAATAAAATAAAGAAGAAAATCACAATTTATGTGTTTGACATATCATTGATTAGTAGAATTTATTATTTATTTGAACAAATAAATATTGGTACAAAGGGGCACCAGATATATATGCGCCTCACAAATCTCATTCGATTTGTGTGAGGGATGTGATACTGCCCGGGTGCCCAGACCAAAGCAGATGGTTTTCTTAGGGGGCCACACCACAAGCCTTTAACCTAAAGATCTGATCCACAAGGTAATGGAGTATCGTGAGGAGATACAGTCCCATGTGACCAGAGATTGGTTCGTACGCCATTTTTTCCCTCAGGATACTGGAGCCCATGTGCACCATTGGTTTGGAATTGTGGTTTTCCAACTGCCCTAGGTGAACTTTCCATGTCCACCAACCCGGTTAGAGCGCTGGACATTCGCTTTTCGTCCTCTCAATTTTGTAAACAACGCCCCGCCACTGTGATAAATCGGTGAGTAGGACTTCCCTGATGGTGGTTGTGTGCACGTGGCTTTGAGAGAGCATTTCAAGAGCGAAAGTGGACTCTCCCCACTCTCGGCCGTACCAGGGCATTTGTTGTCTGGTTATTTAAAAATCATTTCCACTTTGTTATAACCCTCTAGCGGACTTGATTTTTTAGATTATTGATAAATAATTGATTTTGTGTGTAATAACTCGTCGATTATAAAAATAGTATGGTCTGCTTTATTAATAGGTCTCAACTAGTATTCTAACGGAAGGAAATCAACTATTTCTTAATTATAGGCTTATAAGAAAATGACTACAAATATCGTTTATATAATTAGGGAGACAAGGCGCGTAGTTCGTTATTGTCATTCCTTTCATTGGTAAACATCATTAGTAATGTAAGAATTGCGATGCTTCTTGGTAACTCAAAGTAGACGATCGCTTGTTCATAAGGTACTGGAGCAATATTAGATGATTCAATCTCATGGTAGAGCAAGTGACCTAAGTACGTTTGTACATCGTTCGTTCATTCAAGGTTGTAAGGCCTATATGCAACCTTGATTTCTTACTAACGTTCTCCATTTTTTTATCTCAATCCTTCTTGTTCACTGGTATGGTTTAAGCTCCAACAACTGTTTCCATGCTCTAATGAATCTGTGCTACGGGAAGGGACTGTTCACGTGCGATCGTATGGGGCTGTTCATAGAGTAAGAATAACTTCCCCCCCCCATCGTCTTAGTTCTGAATGTATCTAAAAAGCTTATTTTTTATTCAAGACAAGGATTTTAGGAAATATATGAACAGAGTTCTACTTGAATTCACTTGGTATTGTTTGTTTGAATCTTCCCACCGATTTTGTTAGGACTGCAACTGGTCAGTCTCTAATTGGCATATGTGCATACTGTGCGTATTTCCTCGATATACCTTAATTCACAAACATGGTTAGCAGAGATGGATAGTGGCTAGCAGTAGAATCCAGGACTTGTATATTATTTATCCTTATCTGGAAGTTGGCACTTTTGATTCTTGTGGAGATTGTTGAGTTTCGATCGTGAATTGATCAATGTTAGTTCACCATAGTAAACCTGGAAGTACTGGATAACCGTTTCATCCTAGCATGGGACTCCTCAACAGTGCTCATCCACAACCCTTTTTTATTCTATTAATTAACTTACTTATATACATTTAAGTAGTGTTAAATAACCACTAAAGATTTTGTGGTTTTTTTATTATTAAGGGTCGTGAAATAGAAGAAATTCTATCTACAGTAGCTAATGAATGGAGTAAAGAAGATTTGAAATCTAAAGTATCAGATGCACTTATTCAAGAATTTGATCCAATTCAGAGACGACTACATCATCTTATGAATACAGAAGAAGGTCAATCTACTATAGTTAATTGTTTATCACATGGTTCAAAGCAAGCTAATCAATTGGCTACAAAACGTTTAGATCTAATTTATTCTGCCATTGGTTGTAAGATATCAGTTTGTAAAAATTATTCTTCATCACACAACTAGAATTATAGCAGACCCTATTGAGTCTTCTTTCATGTACATTGGTTACAATGCTTTGGATATATGTACAATATCTACCTACCTTCTGATTTCTTTTGAATCATTATGTGATTGCCCGAACAAGTGTTGATGAATGCTATGTTAGAGGTGTGTGTGCAATAGACACAAAAATGATATTATATCGGCCATGTACTTTAACTTCACAATCAGCTTCAAACCTTAAATTTTCTGCCATTGTTTTACCACTCTTCAAACATACTATCAAGAATATTGGGACGTAATGCTGTGTGTTACATCTCAGCTCGTTCGATTACGTCTTCATGAGAAGTAGCTCCGATCACTCTGTTAAAGTGGTAGCTACAGTTGGATTAATAGATATGGTTTATGGAGCACCTATTATCCCCCAAATGCTATAGTATAACCAAGAGTACAAAAAGTCAGCTCTCCCTCTCGAAATACTCTCACATTACCACGTGCATACGACCACCACCAGGGAAGTCCTACTCACTGCCTTCTCATACCACAGGTGTTGTTTACGAAATTAAAAAGACGAAAAAGTAAATATCCGGTGCTTTAATAGGGTAGGTGGACACGCGAAATCCACCTAGGGGAGTTGGGAAATTACAATTCCAAACCAGTGGTGCACATGAGCTCCAGTATCCTGAAGGAACAAGTAGTGTATAAACTTATCGTTGATCACCGGCTACTATGGGACTGCATCTCCTCATGATGCTCCACTGTCTTGTAGATCAGATCTTTAGGTCAAAGGCTCCGGGTGTGGTCCTCTAAGAAAACCACCTGCTTCAGTTTGGGCACCGGGCAGTATCTCAGTCTTCACACAAATCGAATGGTTTATGTGGCGTATATCTATTTGGTTCCTTCTTGTATCGATATTTATGTGTTTAAATAAATAATACGTTTTAGTCATTTGAAGTGATCTATTGCAAATAAACATTTAATTAATTTAGGAAGATTGCCTACATGTATGATAGCATGTCTAATGGCCCCTGTATGACTGAGTGAGTTTGTTCGATAGTGAATTATGTTCAGTTGTGCTACACGCTTGTGTATTAGTCTGATTAGATTATAAATTAAATGAAGTTCTTTAAACAAGCAGTTTAGTTCACTTAGAAAATGACCAAGACTCATTATCCAAGGTGTATAAGTGAAAGATTAATATAAAGCCTAAAATCAAATTCTGCAGGTGACTTTATAAAACAACACTTCACTCATAAGCTTTAGCAGAAACCCACTAATGAGACTAAATAGTACGAAAACATCATCTAATATAAACTAGTTAAATGGCTTTATCAAGACTAAATCCTATATCTTCAGTGTGTATCTGTGTAAAATAGTTGTATTAGTGTAGAAACTCTTAACTACCATGAATTTAACTTTAATTTATATATATTGTTTGTTTGGATCTTCTCATTGATATTTAGGTCTGCGATTGATCACTGCTATCCATCATTTATCTCTGCTTATAGTGCTTCTGACTTACTAGTAATATTGAGGCAGTCCACACAGAATGCGAATATGCCAATAAGAGACTGAGCAATTATAGTCATAAACATCAATAGGAAGATTCAAACAAGCAATACAAAAATGAATTATATTTTACCCCATTACACATGTTAGTGGTTTGTTACGTCGCGTAATTATTGCGTTGCTAAATATTGCGTATTGCGATAAGACTACACGAATTTCTACCGGTTGACTAAATTCAGATATCCTAGTACGATCCCAATACTGTTTCCCCAACTCTAGTAAATCAGAACACAGCCGTTAAATAAGAATTGTTTATGGGGTCAGAAGCAGGTCAAAAATGATTTACAGACAAGGCATATTTATACAGTTACGATGACTATTAACAGTAACCAATGGAAAGGAAGGACACGTAAAGGTTATAATTAGGACAACTGAAAATTGACCAATACGGAAACGACACATGAAAGTCATAGTTAGGACAACTGTAAATAATGGCCAATAGGAAATAACATGCGAATTATGTGAAGAGTCTGAAAATATACCACTTTACATTCGAGATAATTTTTGGGATATTCTTGTGAATATCCTAACATGCTTATTTCAACTCAGTAGCTAAGTGGATAATGTGATGGCGTTTGACGAGAACAATACTGGATTCGAGTCACTCAATGAAACTCACCTCGAGTACAGCTGTAGTTTATTGATGAGTCCTAAATTAGATGAGACGTGCATCATAGTTCTTCCTGTTAGCCATCATCCATCCTTACTTAAAAAACACTATGATCTTGTCTAAAAAAATTCTTCCTTCATTAAACATTCAATGACTGACTTCAGTAGGTAAATCCAAGAGTTCTAGTGAGAAGCAGTGACCAGTGGAGTTCAAACTAGGTCACTGAATACAATTGGTGAACGGTTGCTCAACTTCGTGGATTCGTTGGAGTTAAACATAGACACCATCGAATGCCGGCTCAGTGGTCTAGAGGTTAAGCGCTCTGGTGCGAGACTGGTAGGTCCTGGGTTCGAATCTCGTGAGGCGGGATCATGGATGCGTACTGCTGAGGAGTTCCATAAGTGGACGAAACGGCCGTCCAGGTTTTCCCTGGTGGTCTAGCTTCAATTGACTCACGCTTTCAACTATGAAAATACTAAATCTCCACGAAAAACCCATTGTGCTAAATTATATTTTATCAGACAGTTCATATATATTTCTAGTTTTAAGCCACTTTCTATCTCATTCATTGTTGTCATTATCTGTGTGTTTATTATTCACGGTAGTTTTTTTTATTTAACGTATATACATACCTTCACTTGATTTGTGTGTCTAAATAACTAACCATAAACTAATGTGATTCGATCAAATGAAGAGACAAATGATTATAGATGAAAATTTACCATACATCAAAAAGAGATCAAAAAACCCTTATCGGAATTTTCTGGTTAGCATTTTTTTTTAGCGGTTAGTTTTCTACGGGATAGGAGGTCCCTAAACCCATGCACCCAACCCTCCTCCTTTACCTGGGCTTGGGACCGGCAGTAACCCTAGAAAGAGCTACAGGCGGAATTCTTGTCCGAATTAAATGATTTTTGTTTTGACAAGACTATAATTTATGAACGAACCAATCAGGTTTTAGATTTTGGCGCAAAATCCATTCATCATTTTGATTAAATAGAGTTTTGGCATTATAGTTGATATCAGTTCATGATGAAAATCCGAAATCTAATTCCTAACCCTCACTTGGTTTTACTTATTAGGTGGACATTCACAAGGTCAGTTTAGCGTCGCTTAAAGATCGACAATAATGCTTTTTTTGTATTAAGAAAATATTGATACATAGTTTTATGGACTAATCAAAGAATTTGTTATAATCAAAACAAGAAATTTTAACACCATAGTACCCAATCTGATGTAAAACGAGTCAGACAGCTACAACGTAGTAACAGACACATATATGTATCGGTCCAAGTTGCCATACCTCGTTAGCACAACAAGAGGAACACCGGATTCATAGTAGTTAATCTAGTGTTGGTAGTAGTATATAAATTATAGGTTGTATATAAGTATATAGTACAGGAAGATAGATATGAAGCAATTTTAATTTCATAGTTTAAGGTAAGATAAAGAGTGTATACACCTACGCCATTGTGATCGAAGATGTTTGATAGTGATCGTCTCTGCAAAGTGGAGTAAGATTGCTGTTTTTCTCTGTTGATTATTTTGGATGCATCACTTCATGTCCACTATCGAAATGTCTGGTGATCACACTTGTAAAGACTTTACTCGATAAAAGGAACGAAGGTCAATAATACAGTGACACGATAGGCTATTCTAATCCGTTGTCATCAGCCCTACTAACTAGATCAAGAAGTCTTGATGAGGTGTAGAGAATGTATTCTAAAAGCATCCAGAAAATACGACTTCACTAAGCACACAAATCAAGCTTATTTGTACAATGATAGAAACACTCTTGGAAGAGCCATAAAATATAATACTAAAACAATCCGTCAATCAATGACAGTCAAGGAATTCCGAGTGGGGAATGTAAACTGTAGGTCAACTAAGCGTCTCTTGGCGCAAAAACATATGATTCAAATGTTCAGAATAAAATTACAAACTTATAAACCTTTTTCAAATAAGTTCTAGGGATCTAACATCCTCAACACAATTACATAAGCTTAATTGAAAATATTTTGTTCATATTTCTGTAATTTATTCAATATTGGTCTATCAGTTAAGTACTCTGGCGCGAGACTGGTAGACCCTGGGTTCGAATCTCGTGAGGCAAGATCGTGAATACACACTGCTGAGGAATCTCATAATAGGACGAAACGTCCATCCAATGCTTCCCATAATGGTCTAGCTTCAACTGACTCATGATTTCAACAATGAAAATACTGAAATCTACAGGAAATCCCTTCTGATTATTCAATATTGCTTTCCCTTCATGTTAGGTAATATAAAGAGTATAGGTGAACAATTGTTTCTTTTTATTACCATCTGTACTATTAAGATACAATAAATTCATACTCATCTGATCCTAATCAATATCATAAATAAACAATCATGAGAGATAAACACAACATAGACCCTTTTTGTATAGCTTATTATTATTTCAGCAATTCATATTTCTTCATTTTATAGTTGAATTCATGAATCAATTGAAGATAGACCACCATGGAAAGCCTGAAAACACTGGGCGGCCGTTTCGTCCTATCATGGGACTCTTCAGCAGTGCGTATCCACGATCTCGACTAGAAAGATTCGAACCCAGGACCTATCAGTCTCGGGCACGAGCACTTAACAATTATTTTTTTTCTACAGAAATGTTTTCTATATCACCAGTTGTATATACTGAAAGTTGATCTGTTCAGCGATAATATAAGATTACATAACATGGTTACTATTGGAACATATTATTATAGGGATCTATAATATCTAAGACTTGTTTATGTTATCATAATTTGATCATAATTCATTTTAAATAGGAATGAATTAATCAGTTATAATTAGAAATTAA